AGTGGCTTAATTATGTGAGCACAAGTGTATATACAAAAATTTTCAAAACAACAAAAAATTATATCTGAAAAATCACAGAAAAAGCGTAAAGCGCAAAATTAACACCGAAAATAAATACTCACCATCAGATGCACGCAGTATTTCGGGATGTGCCAGCGACTCGGTATTGATTTTACCAATTTTATTTGTTTCATGTTGCAAGAATGTTGCTCTGCAAATAGAAATAACTGCAATTAGACATATGCTTCACACTTCAAAACTTTTCAATGCTTACTTTGAGGGCGCAACTGACTCCTCCACCATGGTAGAGCCCTCATCTCCCTCGATACCAAAATGATCTTTGGTTTGTTTCTTCTTCAATATAATATCAATATAACCAGCGATTAGCTGTACAATTTGCTCAGCCTCGGTTGTTTGCACCGAGTAATATTGATTGGCATAATCACCGAAATCCAATGTGAAGGTATTCGGTGAGGCGCCCCAACGTCGTACCGTCGTCAATGGCCACGATACTAAAATCTCCTTGGTGCGTTCATCCAAACGCAAAACGGAATCTTTGGTTACGCCCAACAAGCGTGGCACCAACTTATTGCGTCCGTTCATCTTCTCCTTCACCAAGAAGAATGTCACACCGTAGGTAGGCAGCTCACGTGCCGTCTTCGTATACAAGACTTTGGCGTCGATTTCCGTCAGAGCGGCGTGTTTCTTGTGCTCCGCAAATATTTTCTTTTCAATGTTCTTCACACGTACGTAGGATTGCGGCAGGAAATCCTTTAAACTGTGTTTGGGCAAATAAATGTAAATGTAACATGTGTGTGTGTGTGTGTGTGTGGTACTTATAGTTGAATAGACTTACTCTAAAAATCCCGGCTTATGCTTGGCTTCGTTGTGTGGGCCAAATTGTATGTGCACTTGTATGCCAGCGAATTCACAAGCTTTTTGTATGAAAAGAAACCAGTATTAGAATAACAATAACAATAATAACACATTTATGCTTTGTATAAGCAGCGGCGAACAACAACACGTACCTTTATCCTGTGTAACGGGATGTGTGCCATCGAGTATGGCGTCACGCGCCTGCACGTACAACAAATTCAATTGCACCGGATCACGTGAGTCAATATTTTGATCCGAGAAGAAGAAGCGACGACGCAACAAAACCGTTTCCGACTCATCAATGCCTTGTTCGCGCAACGTCTTACCGACATCCACCCAATTGACTGCAAGTAAGTAGAAATATTATGTAACTTGCACTCAGATATGTATGTATATATTTGTGTGTAATTAATGTGACTTACTTTCATCATCGGTTTTCAGCTTCCGGCGCAAACTTTCCATCTTTGCATCACGATCCTTTTCGGTGAATTTCCGACGCAACGTCAACGTGCCAAACTTATTATCCGGCAGGCTCTCATTCTGCGCCTCGTTATCTTCGCGCACCAGTCCATACTCCTCATGATTGGTGATGCCAATTTTCGTGCAAATGACCACCATTAATTGCGACACCGGTTGCGAGTCATCGACAAGTATGGTCTTCACGGCACCGTCCAACATACGCACACGCAACGTACGTAGCTTACGTCGATATTCCAGCGTGTCCTGATTGTGGAGTATATAATAGCCGAGTGTACGGCCGGCTTCCAGCCAAACGCCCTGTTGATGTTGCTCATCCGATATAAATAGACCATATTCGCTGGCTGTGGGAGGCAAAAATTATGGAAAGCAAAGCAAAATGAATGGTGATTAAAGGGAAAATGTGATAGACAAAGAATCAAGCAAAATGCGTGGGTGGCACATGCAAGATATACAATATGTATATACATTATAAGTACATATGCATCTATGTATGTATATACATATGTACACCACCATTGTGTTTGGCTTTTACTTACGTTGTCCCTGCACAGCTTCGGCAAACTTATCCCGTATAATTTTACAGGCATCAAATACTGTCGTATTGGGATGGAATTGTATGGTCTTTGTGACACGGCCACCCTCTAACTGTATACGTAACGATAGTGTTGACATTTTGGCACTTGTCGTTGTACGTTTTGACGTCGCTTTTTCTACGCTGCTTGTAGTTGTATTGCAGATATTGACTAACTATGTTGTTTTTATTGTCGATTTTGTTGATTTTTGCGTTTTTCGATAATAAAATTATAGACTTAGTTTTAAAAGGCACTGTGGAAGAGAAGAGCAAGCGAAATTTTAGTTAGCATGAGTATTGGTTTTCTGATTGATTTTGATGTGATGCGCAAGCAGGCGTGTACTGACATGTGTGGGCGTGTGTAAAAATGTATATTATGTAATAAGATATTTATTCTCCTCAGTGAAATGCTCAGCTTCTATAAGAAAAAGGCAGAACTTAGCGATACGCAGTTGAAAAGTTCGATTTTCAGAAGGGTTTCATAATTCTACTGCGAAAAAAACGATACGAAGTGTCAAATTCTGGTTTACAAATGTCACATAAATGACAAAGGAAATATTTACACGTTATTTAAACTGAGTAATATAAATACATATATAATTTTGCTAAGTTGGTAGGACTGTCCTTTATTACTATGCCCATTATGGGCGCGATCTGTCAACCAGTCTTTTTGTAGCTGTCTTTGAGCCTAGTTAAACTAAGAAAATTCCAAAAAAAAGTGTAAAATTTTACAAATTTTTTAAAAATTGAAAAAAGTGGTTTTTGACCATAAATAATTTTACTTTATGTTGTATAAGAATATGTTGTTCAAACTTGACTTTTCTTAGTTTAAATAGAATATAATTTAATGCCGAAGAAGAAATAAACTTTGCCCCAATTCCATACGTCGTTTAGTTTTTTTCTATCCTGTCAATTAAGGAAAAGCGTAAAAATGAATAAGCGAGAAATCACGAGTCAAAGTTTTCGCTTTCTGCACAAGCCTTCTGCTAGACGCTCGGTCACTATTTCCATTCTATAATCTAAAATATTTCGAATTGTCATATAATAACTTTGGAGACATATTATTAGATATTTTTTAAAAAGATTTAAGCAAAAAAAATCGGTTTTTTGAAGCTTCTAATGCAGGCTCACCCCTTAAGTCGGTACATTTCAGTAGGTACAATTCAGTTTTATCATGGACAAAAATATCGAACGAAGATTTTTTCACAAATTTTGTATTTCTAACCGAATTTCGTATGCGGAATCGTTGCGAATGTTGGAGAAATCTTACGGTGTTTTAATTTAATCAAAAACAAAGCCAAAAATGCAATGAACCCCAAACTAAATTTGCCGCTTTGTGGAACCCATTTTCAGTCGATTGAAGAGATAAAGCAGCCATCCCAAAAAGTGCTTATGAAAAGTATTTCGAGAATTCGAAAAATCGGCATAAGTGTATTACATCTGATCGGGATTACTTCGAAGGCGACAAAATAAATATTGACGAATAATTAAATATTTTGCATTTTATTTAAAATTTCCGGGTACTTGTTTGTCACAATGTTTATTATGAACCGCTGTCCCAAACTGTAACGTTAAACCACAAATAATCAGTTCTATACTGTGTAAGTTTTAAAAAAAAAATCGACTTATTTTAATGATAGAAGAGTAGTGAGAGAGTATTTTCTTTCCATATTTTGAAATCATAGCTTAGTCAATTTTTCTTTTCAATTATTAATCAATGTTTTGCTTTATGGTAAGTATAAATTGTGTCAGTTATCCAGATTTGCTCTAAATAACCGGGTATTGGAATATCGAATTCAAATTCCAAAAAGAAAAATTATATAACAAATATATTACTTAGAAATTATCATTGCCAGCCATTATTATCAATAATCACGCTCAAGACTGTGATGCTCCTCTTAAAGTCGCAACGTTTTGTGTACTTAATTCCTGCTTTGAAATGCTGAATGGACTGAATATTTGACAATGGAAAAATCACATTAATTTGATGGCACAGAATCCACCCTAAATAACTTGAGTGCAAGCAAAGCAAAGGAGAAGAAGCAGGCAAGGATTTCTTTTCTAATTTTTTTTTTTTTTGTTTGTTTGTTTGTTTGCAGAGAAGAAACCCTCCACTTTGCTGCGGTATTCATATCTATTAACACTGTAAACGCATACATATTGATATTTATCTATTGCAGATATGTGAATAAAATAAAGTCTGTATAATGTGTGATGAGTTTTAGAAGACATTTAATTTTAAAAATTTTTTGGTCGACTTTTTGAAGTCGAAATTATTATTTTTTTTTTTTAAGATTTCACACTTTTTGCATTTGTGAATGGTGTACTGCCTGTCATTTATGGCTATCTGTATGTATCTTTTGTCAATATTTTCTTTAAAGCTATTCACAGTACGCATAATTGGCAAAATGCCAGCAACAACAACCCCTCTTACAGCCGCTTCCGCTTACTTTGACTTACGGTAAATGTATGTTTTACCGCAATGCGCTCACGTTTAATATTTGCTCTTAAAGTTATCTATGCACTGGGCATTAGGCAACCCTCACGACCGCGCTTAGTTGCATTGTGTGTTTATATGTATGTAGGTTTGTGTGTATTTTGTTATACCCTGCAAAGGGGTTTTTTAAGTTTGCAGCAGGAGAAGATAGCGATGGGGATCTTATAATGTATATCGTCACCTAAAATACAAAACAACGTATCATAAAAAAAAAAAATAATAATAAAAATCGCTATMAGATAAAATAGCCAATATATAACCGTTTCATAACGTATATTTTCTTTCAATATAAGTGGTTTATATTATGTCGTTTTTCCTTCGCCTGTAAGCTTATGAAAAGTGATGTTAAGTTGTTGTGCATTTTAGGTGACGAAACTTGAATGATTATGATAAGCTAAATTGATCTGCCTGGCTGTAGACCTATACGCTAACTTGTCCTTCAATTTTTTAGATATCGATCTGAAATTTTGCACTCATCGTTTTCTTCCCAAGAAGCAACTCATTTGTCAAAATCACCGATATCGGACAACTATATGATATAGTTGTGATACAAACTGTTCGATCAGACTCAATTCGCTGTATGGAAAACTTGTTTATTTGTCAATATATATTCACGAAATTTCGCTTAGATTATTGTATAAGGCAACGGTAAATTCTCTGAACATATGGTTCCGATCGGACCGCTATAGCGTATAGCTGCCATACAAATTTACTGATACTAATCAAGTGATTATATGGTAACATTTTTTATTTGTGAAGGGTATTATATTTTTTCTTGTTTATATGTGTGTCTGCCTATAGTTAAATGCTTGCCTATTTTCTAATTCGATACTCTTTTCCGGTTTAAACTAGAAACGAAATCGCTCAATAGCAAGCCAGGAAGCGGAGAGAAAACAAACAAACACTGCAAGCATCACTTTGCCACTGGGGCACACCTTGTCAATATAATTTATGTATGTATGTCTACAGTGTTGGATGTGTGTATGTATGCTGATTAAGTATGTAATTAAAAGGATATATAACAGAGAGTGTGCTGTTAAAAATTAAAGCTGATAACATAGCAGTGTATATGTAGGTAAGTAAGTAAGTATGTAGATAGCTATGTATTGATATACATATTTATGTGTGCATATTTATTTTATGTATATATGCGTAGAAGCAGAATGCTGACAAAAGTCACAGTACCGCAAAAAAAGCATTATTCGGAATATAGTTTCAAGAAACTATGTTAGTAATCGCCTGCGTCTGTGCTTTTGTTTGCTGACCCAGCCCAGGCTGTGCTGGCTTTATAGCTTATGGATTTTTACCAGCCATAATACCAAGTAATATATTGTAGAAAGCACACAAAATACACCAAAACGAGATTGAAAGAATGAAAAGCATAAAACAAAATCGATATTCTTCGGTCATTTGAATTAAAAAGGGATGGCGGAGAAAAGTGATTATATGCAGCTACCCATACATATGTATGTTTGTACATTTGTATGTCTATTATATACACAGAAAACACACTTTTATGCCGAGAAAAAATTTGAATTTTCACACCAACTTTTTAACCAGCTGCAACATTTCACCGAAATCTACACTTCCGCCATATGAAACTGCACAAATTCTTCGAGAAAATTAACTGCTAATTAAATAAAACCATTATTTTCAACATTTTCATTTACTTTTTGCAGTTTTCGTAAGCATTTTGAGGTTATCAACGTCGAGATACGCCACTGAAAGACACGCAGTTACTTTTATTTGAGGCTTTTGCCACACACCGTAGGCGCGCTGCCACTCCCACTTTCGCCAATATGTCCACAACTGTGCGCTCAATAGCACATCAAATTAAACACTTATTAAATTTCAGCAAAAAAACTCAAGATTTTTTCTATTTTTCCACAACAGCGCGCGGTTGACGCACGACCTCTTGCCATCAATTCCACACAACAACTGAAAATCACGCGTAGCGCAAAAAGCTAAAATCTGTGTGTGCTCCTTCATCTCCTGGCAGAAAACTCACACAAATACGCACACATACACATATATACATATACAGGATTACAGACAGAAATGCGGCTTGATTCGATTCTCTGCGGTTCACAACATTTCTGGGGGATGGATGCTGATGCTGTGCGCTCGATTGTCACTGCAAACTGGCACAATAAACGCGTACAAAAGTGGCACATGGCTAGAGGGTGGCACTTAGGCAATGAACTTCCCCACACGCTGAGTTTTAATGCTTATGCGCGTTTTCCCACTGCCACAGCGGCATATACAACTACATACACACATGGATAAATATATATTCTGGTAATGCATACAGCTTTTCATTTTACGCCACGGAAACGGTATGGAAACGGCACAAACTACCCTTGTAGAGTTTGTAGAGATTTTAACAGCGCCAAGTAGAATTGGAAATTACTGTTACTGCTGTTTGTGGTTAGCAGCAGCCACTTATGGCAAGCTACTAATGGGCTATGCGGCAATGTGTACGCTGGATTCCGTCATTCCGCATGGAAGGCGCATGTGCAAAGTTTGTGCGCAAAGCAACGAGATGCAAGCCGATTTTAGGCTACAGAGGAAAATTATTTTGATGTTATCAGATTTTTTGAAAAAAAAAAAATTGAAAATAATTCACTTTTTAAAAACTTAAGTGAGGAGAGAGGTAACGAATAATATCAAAAGGCTACTAATAGCGCATCCTAACTCAATAAATCTACTAAAATGGCATAGGTTATCTTGTCAAAATCTCGGAATAAGCATTCTCTAGCGAATCTGTAAGTAAGCTTATACTGAATTGAACACTGTCTACTAGTTGACATGTAGAAATGTAATGGGACAAACCCTGGTTTTATTGAATATAGAAGATAATGTAATATCTTTTAAATTTAATCGATAAAATTGAAATTATTGAGTTTTCAGGGATTCTCAAACTTTTCGTTTTTATAAAAATCACTGAGCACGTATTCTCAGTGAATGGGGAAGGAGAGAACGGGGTGGGTTGCTATCGAGCAGGGATATCTCAGTACGGCCTGGTGCTCTGCACCGTTTTTATTGTTGGCATTTTTTCAAACAATTCACTACTATCATCCTCGGGCTCCGGTTTCTTCTATACGGCTTGGTGTATTCTCTATAATATTTTTCACTAATTCGTTGCACCAGAGTAATGAATAACATGTGAGAAAGCGTAAACTGAATATTGAATAGAACAGTATCAAATATGTAAGTGCTGTTATGAAGAACTGCAAATTATAATTTAATTTTATTCACAAGCGGCAACAATGAGGTTTATGCACTTTTAGTGGTTCCCAAACTTTTCTTTTGTTTTCGTCAAATCTTATCAGTATCTGAGTTAGTTAGATGCAAAGAGAGCTGAGTTGAAATTGCGAAATTGTAAGCACAACAGATGTTAAATATATTAAACCGTTATGTAAAGTACTATTTTTATTCACAGACGGCAACAATGAGGTTTATGCAGTTTCAGTGGTTCCCAAACTTTTCTCTAATTTTCGTCAAATCTTGTGAGTAACGTCGGATAAGCAATTTGACCCTGAAGGAACTAAGGTGTAATTGCGAAATTGTAAATCCAACATTGTCAAATATATCATACTGTTATGTAGAATTTAAGTCACCAAGCCTATGAGCACTTGTAAAAATAGAGAAACTCAATAACACTTTATCAACTGTCGGAATATTATCTCGTATGTAGAAAATTGCAAACCCTGATTCTATAAAGATTACATAGAAATGTTCACACTTGCAGGGGTTGCCAAACTTTTGTATTTAGTTTTAGTTTTTTTTTTAGAATGAATGAATTTTACTCAACAAACCCTTTTAATTCAGAAATGGTACCAACGAAGTTTTGGCACTTACAGGGTTTGCCAAACTTTTTAAATTAATTTTAAGTTTTTTCAGAATGACAATTTGATGTCTGGGATATATCAAGTTCTTAACACCTCTCTAGCTTCATACGCGAAAAAGAAAATAAATGTATATTTGCTGAACTTTTTTGATGAACTGATGAATTTAGTCCATGTTTTTTTTATTGAATTTGTTTAACTTAGAACTTCATTAAATAAAAATAATAATATTCCACTAACTATGAATGTTGAATGCAAAACTTGCAAGATTTTTCAATATTAAAGTCAAAATGATAAATTTGCGAACAACTGCTTTATTTTATTCATAAACATTTCCGCCTATAAAAACATTCGAAAATAACTAAATATTTTCTAATTTAGATATTTTATGCCAATACCAATAAAAAATTGGTATCATTAATCGATTTCTTCTTTTTATATATTAGTCATAAAAAATTTATAAAATTAGTTGGTGATTGAGAATCTTTTTCAATACGTAAATACAACCTTGTGCTTAAATTATTCGTCGAATGTCGCACGCTTTCTAGAAAAAAGACATTTTTTTAAAATAAATTTTACTGAAAGCCGTAAGAGAATATAGCGGCATATAATGAAGAAACGAGGAGCTCAGGGCTTTTCAGTTTGGAGAAAGAGATAGATTAATGAATATACTGTTCAGATTTTAATTATCCACAAACTCAACTTAAGATCTTTATGGCAATATCATTGTAAAAAATAATTAAAATATTAATTGAGTAATTCAGATTATAATTTAGCACATAAGTAAATTTAGTAGATCAAAATGTCGTGTGACCAGACTATTAATGATAAAATCGCAATAAAAATTACATCTACACACTTGACTGCAAACTTTACTAAGTACATACCGACAATAATGTCCCTTTACAGCCAAATATCAATTTCCACAAACAAAAGCAACAGGACACTAATGAAATTTACTACTTGATTACACATTGAAAAGCAAAAATAATTAATAGAATACACTGTTATGTCGAATATGCTCACATATATATCAACGTTAGTGCGTTTGTAAGCGATATCCGTCATAACTCTAGCGGATCTAATTTCAAATGGATGAATGATTTGTTTGCACGGAAGGACAGCATGGCAAGGGCGAGCTCGAAGGAATTCGAAAGTCAACTTCCGTTGTTTGCCAGTGTGACAGCTAAAGCTACAAACATACAATTCGCCTATGCATACATTTCGTACGGTTTTGGGGTGGCAAATTATGGCTAATAATTATCTCAGCGCAACTTTGCACTTTAATGACTGCCAGCCAGCTAGCGAGCGCTATGGAATTTTGTCGCCTCCGCACGCTCGTAATTTGCGCAGCAGGTGTGCGCCTATCAAGTGCCCAGCAAGCGCTCTAATGACTACATAAAACCAAATTGTACCGATGTGTAAGCAATATGCTGTAGGAATGTATGTATGTATATCTATCAAGCGGAATGTAATTCATTCACCATTTTTCTATAGGAAATCATCGTAAATTCACACAGCGTCGCTAATGGATAAGCTAACAACAAGTGTAAACATACAGTTAACTCAATACCTTAATTCTATTACTAAATATAGAATTTTGGCACTAAATAATTGTGTATCCATGTTTGCGAAATGTCTGTATTGGAAGTAAGTTCTAATTAAGAACCACATTTATTATGTTATTAAATCTTTATTCATTGTTTTGATAGCGCTTTATTGAAAGTAATACAATTTTCAAATAAATTTTTAACATCCATGAAAGAAAGTGTTTTTTACGATTAGTTTGATCAGACGGCTTTCGAAAGCTAAAAATTTATGTTTTGAAAAAAAAAAAACAAAATTTGCTCATTCTTTGCCAAAAAAAAAAAAAAAAACAAAAAACTCCGACGTTCCCTTTTGCATTTGCTATTTTCTCAAGTAAGCTTTAAGGTAATGAGCAGTTTAAGCACTGATTTGTAACCAATATAGATGATAGATTATCTAATTTATTTATTTATATGAAAAACACAAGTACACTGGCGGTTATATTGGGTAGTCTAAAAAGTCTTTTCGTATTTCTAATTAAATTTTAACTTGTTTCTTTTTTTTTAATATTTATAATAATAAAAAAATAAACAAATATGTAACATTTTGCTCGGCCCCTTTTTTGTCATTTTTCCGTTAGAGACATTATACATGATTATACAAAAATTTCAAAATATAGCGACTTTCTTCATTATTTCACTCATGTTTGAACAGTTGTAACTTTTCTTCAATTTCGCCGAATTTAGTTTTTTTTTTAATGAAGCTTAAAATATCACCATTCCAACATACATATATGGTATACATAATGTGATTGGTATAAAATACGAAAATACTTTTTCGACTACCCTAAAATAAGAGCAAAATGGGTGCAATTACATGCAATTGAGTCCTGATAAAAAAGTTGCTATTGATGCGTTGGTGAAGACAGGTCTTTCTTAAAGGACCATTGTTAAAAATGTTGACTGTTCACATTCAACTGTGGTGCAAAAGAAAGAATACTTTGAAGGACCTGGAGCGAAGAAAACAATCTGGTTCCAAACGCGCAACTAACAAAAAGATTGATGGCATAATATAAAATGATAAGTGTTAAAGATCGATTCAAAAGTGCTGTTACTATACGGGTAGAGCTGGATACACATTATAGGGTGAAAATAAGTGTGAAACAGTACGAAAAATTTTGCCATAAGCCGGTTAGTTCGGAAGACGTATTGCAAAAAAGCCAATGCTGACCAAAAAACTGAAAACATCGCGTCTAGAATGGGCAAACAAGTAGAAGAACTGTACACTTCAGCGACAGCGAAATGTTTTGTGGTCAGACAAGAGCAACTTCAACCTGCAGTGGCGCAGCTTTGCTAGAGAATGATTGATAAAGAAAAATGTATTCTCAAAGCCGGTAAGTTCGCTCATAGTCAGATATTCTGGAGTTCTTTTCCTATTCTATCCGTGGTTCTTTGCAGTTTTTAGTTCCGGCTTTCGAGAGAAGAGTTATCCTGCCATCACGGGCGCATCTTTATAGTGTATGTTTGTAACGTAAGAATTAAAAATTCTAATGCAATATGTCAGTTTTGATGTGAGAAAAATTGTTGAAAAATGGCTGTTTTTTTTATCGGAGGAAACCCCTTAATATAAATATACTCTTAAAATTTTAAAAACATTGATGCAGTAGCTGTTTTTTTTTTCTAATTAAAAACATCGCCATTTTGATTATGTCACAATTGTAGGAGTACTTCGAACTAAAGAAAGAAAATGTCTTAGAACAATGTTTTTTTAAATAAAGTTTTCTTCAGAACCTTAGCAAACAAATTTCCTGGAACTATTTTTTTTTTTTCATATAAAAATGTTCTCCAAAAATTAGCAAACCCGAAACAGTTATTATTATTATTTTTTTTTTTTTTTTGATATTTGTTTTGTGAATGAATATATATATATACATATATATTTTTCTTTAAATAATTTTTTTTTGTTTTTTCATAAATATTTTTGGCAACTGTACTTACTTATTGGAGAATTGAAACTCATTGCTGAGTTTTCGTTGTTACTTTTAAAAACGTGAAGGCACATCGGGCAAAACGCAAGGCAATTGTGTGAAGATTTTATAAATCGTTTACAGCAGCTCGATCGTGCGATTCGTGGTGAACGTATGGCCCACGGCATTGGCTGCGTTGGGCCGTTCAACGCGACCGAATCGCCGACAACTGTTTGAGGCACGTTGTGATGTGACACCAACAACGTTACGTTGCACGTACGGATGTACGTCGTAACGTTGATTTTTCGTATAACAAATTTATTATTTTCGAAATTAAACGAATTGACGAAAAACGAAAATCTCGTAACGCAATAACGACAACAAACGATGCTTAACAATTACAGTTTTTTTACAATTACAACAGCAATAGCTTTTAAAACGTATACATTTGCGGTAAAAAGTAGATTAACGTTAACAACAATAAGCGATGGGATTAAAAACGCGACGAATATGACGAGAAAAAACGACGTATAAAACTTGGACAATAAAACGCGTTCCACGCAACGGCACAGTCTCGACAAGCGATTGTGTGTGCGTGTGTACAGGTTTTAAGGCTATGGCGGCGATTAAGGCACACGAAACGAAATTTTCGAATATTAACCGTTATTTTTTAAAATATTCTAAAATCGTATATTTAATGCTTTTTAAATTATAATATTAATTTTTTTTTTTTTGTTATATAACGTTGTTTCTAATTTTATATAATTTTTTTTTTAATTTTTATTTTTGTTTTTATTAAAACCGAAACATTTGCGTCCATCTCTAAGGCACTGGATGTTTTAAGGCGATTCGGTGTTTCTCGGCGTCTACATTCTTCCCAAAATGCAGCACGCAAGGCACTTCTTTTGAATTTTATTTAATAAAATTGTTTTAAAAGCAAAAACCGTTAACTTTAAAAGGTGTACTACTAATAAATAACAACAACAATAAACAAATTATATCAAACGCGTGTTCGTTTCGCTTCGTTTGTAAGCGCTGAGCACAACCGTTAGAGTAAAACTTGCAGTACTGTTATCTCAATTTCGATTTCGGATAAATTTTTTTATTCGCTGATTCCTGACGCAGCGCTACATTTTCGACAAGTGTAACGTGGCAGGTCGCAAGCACAACTGAGTTGAAGCGAATGGCCAGCACTTTCTCACAGCTGAGCTGTTGCTAACACGGGCGCGTTTGAAGCTACTGCTGCTGGCTACTGGCTGGCTAAGCTGGCTACTGCACGCCGCTGATGTCCTTTCCGATCTGTGGTTAGGCCTAGAATGATGTGTTCCGTCAGCGACACATCGTGAACCACTGCTGCTAAACTCAGCCATTCCACAAGTCGTAAGCGTTCGAAGCATACGCTCGCTACGCGCAGCTACCCAGTGGCGGTGGTGGTGGTGGCGCCGTACAGGGCCCTAGTGATGGTGATGAAGCTGTTGGCAATTGCGTCGGCGACAATGGTTGATGTGTTGGCCAAGTACAACACAGCACATATAGAGCCAGTGTCTGCGACAGTGTTGGGCGCATGCGCTATCGGAAGCTGCGCAACGTTCCGCTTACAAAAAAAAAAGTTCAAAGAAAATGCAAAAACAAAAGCAAAAAAGCGTATGCGAAAAAGTGCCGGCCGCGTGCGGTGACAAGTGGCAAGTACCGCACCACGTCAGCGCTCGCAACAACAAAGCTGGCAAGTCAAATGGCTAACGAGTCACACATGATAGCATGGAGGGGTGTAAAGTGTGGCACGATGCTGCGCTGTGGCAGCGCCGCTACAAAGTCGTAAATATACATATATTAGTATTCAACTGGCTGGCTGGCCGGCTGGCAGGCCATGGGGTTGGAGGTTGGCTTTGTGGTGGACCGAAATTGGTGGGTGTACAACTACAATACATACAAGTGTGTATGCATATGAAGCGCTAAAATCACACCACCCATGGGGTTGGATTATATAGAAACGCGACAGGCGACAACCACTTTGAAAATTCGCATTGGCCTTATATAGTTTGGGGAAAGCAATAGCAACAGCAATATGTAGGACTGCGAGAAAAAATGCACTGAACTTGGCAAATACATAAGTCGATATGACTTTTTGTTCATATATTTTTATATATTTACTTTAATATTCAAATATGGGCATATAAACTTATGTAAACGATATTTTGGTATATATGTATGTACGCATTTACTTAAGAGGTTATACCCACTTGCGAATTTAAAAAAAAAATGTATTATACTATATAGCGTATGAGTATATGTACTGTGTTACAATAATCTTCGAAAAATTGAAGTTGATCCGGTAAATAACTTCGTATATATAGGCGTATTTTTTGAACTTAATGAAATCAGCTGCCAAAAACTTTAACAAGTTGTTCCCAAACCAATATCCACAAAATCGAGGAGGATTTTTCTCCGAACCGGCTGGATCTACCGACTTGAAGTTTTCACACGTCCCCCTTAGATATACAAACATATTTGTCAAGTAATGATTAAAGTGGGCAGGAATACACAAAAAGTATCCACTGCTTTGATTGTATTCCACACAATATAAAACACGCATTGCAGAATCTTCTCCTGGCGGTTCCTTCTCGGTTGACACTTCTACGAAGAACTTTTTAAAGTCATCGAAGAAGACGTTTGAAGAGTAAGCTTTATCATACTCATGGGTCGAAGAAGGAGAGCAGAGAGCTATAGTCTTCAGTTAAGAGCTCTCCGTTGACTCCAGTTTCAAATTAACATACTACTGTAGCGTCTTTCAAGCGGAGGTGGCTGCCATCAATAGCTTCAAGCTTCTTCTATATAAGACTTGTATCGGAATCACCGGAAACTGCAAAGTCGATGAGCTTACTAGAGCGAATTGCAATCTGAAGCAAATTGGTTTTCCGATTGCATTCTACCGCTGGACCTTTGGACTTCCAGTGAGCTCAGCAAGCGCTGGTCAAGAATCAGAAATTGCGCGAATGCGAGATATTCTGGGCCCGAGTGAACCATAAGATATCCTCCCAACTACTGGCTCTTGGCAAAGTCAATCTCGCCGCTAAACATTCTATCAGAAGCTCTTTTCCAAATCTGTATGGTGGAAGGCGAGGTGGAATCATCTTATATCTTCTTTCTCCATTGTAGGCTGAGATTGAAATATCTACCTTCGGCGAACCCAGCAAAATTGCTGGTATTAAATTTAATAAATTATGTGGTAAATGCTTCGTCGATCTATGAGGAACAAGTGATCCACTTTTAGGAGTTTTCGGGTAACAAAATGGACGAATATCAGGTGAGATTTTTCGATTTTGGATCTATCCCACAACCTAACCTAAGTTAAGTTAAGCCACTCTGAAGTTCAAATTTTCTCACAAAAAACTGCTTTTTTTGGAAATCGCCGATTTGGCAAATATTTTTGTAGCAAATACATTTGTAGCTCACATACACCTATCAGGAAAGGATTCTCTCCGAATTTCAATTATATATCTCACAGATTGACCGATATTTTCGCTAAAAAGTCAACTATAGGCCCTTTGGTCTACAAATTCGGTATCCAAGGACTTTAACAGTTCATATGGGATTTGGACAATTTTTAGCCATAGGTTGGCATACGCTAAAAGCATTATTCGTGCAAAGTTTTATCCCGTTAAATTAATTGGCTCTTGATTTGCATACTCGAAAGGAAAGAATCGAATGGAATTTAAAATTGTGTTATATGAAAAGTAGGCGTGGCTGTAGTCCGATTTCGCGCATTTTCACGTTGTAACATAAAAATGTTAGGAAAATCCCACATAACCAAGTGAAATTGGTCGGGCGGGGCTCGAGGTTTATGTTTTCACATAAAAGTGAGCGATGCCACGCCCATTGTCCAATTTTAACTCAGGGCTCCATTAACGCCCTGTCATGCCATCTCGCCGGTAAAATTTAATGTTTTTGGCGTATTTAATTATAGATTTATTGCCATTTAAGTAGTTTTCTAGAATACCGTTATATGGGCAGTCAGCAGGGTTATCATCCGGTTTTGTTTTTTACACACTGTAGCTGGGAGTTCTTATAATATATGCGCCAATTGAATTTAATTGTTGTAGCTTATGTGGTTTAAAAGATATACACGTTCAACTTATTTTTCCCTACAGGTTACTTCTGCGATCCTATACCTTAGTTTGGTGTTTAGTTATGTACATAAAATCCTATAAAAGTATTTATCTATTATATAAAATCAATTATTCAAATCAAAAATCAGGAAGAATCTTTTTTCCGACTTGCAAGTGAATATAACCGCTTTAGTATATAATTATATACCTTTTTGTACATAATACATACATATATACTTTGTACCACGCATACAAACATATGGAGCTGACAAAAATAACTTCATATGTATTAGCATCCCTCTACATACATAGATAAGTAAATACTACGCTTAAGCATGGTTATATACCCATAAATATGCCGCTATATACATAGATTGCGCGTTGCTGCGCCTTTATGTAGGCTTTGATTTTTAATTAACAACGTCATTGTAAATGCTGCGTCAATAACTGTGCTTATTTATTAAAAGATATATAGCTTAAACATATACATCTACATAGACAGATATATGTATATATTTCGTAACAAACAACCAACACATAAACACACATACCCGCAGAGATAACAGAGCATCTTCGGAGCATACAATTAATGCTAACAAACTGATTTCAACGATTAAGTTAATTTGCGCACATTGAAAATACAAAACAACAACTACCACTACTATAACAATGACAACAACCACATAAACAACAACAATTGCCACATTAGAGCAAATGCACCACAGCAAGATTAGTCCGAAACTCCGTCGCTACAACACTTGTTTATGCAGCAAACTCGCCAACTCAATGACAACGCAGCACTTGCCACCCACCGGGACGGCATGTACCCCGTGCAAGCAGCCCACAAACCAAGAAACCAATCGCGCTAGCGATCTAACAAACTAACGAGCGGAGTTTTTGTTGTTTTTCTGTTTTTTGTATTTTGTAAAGTATATTTCAGTAGAGAAAAAAATGAAATGTTGTGAGCTCGACATTATCATATTAAAAAAGTAGCGAAATCATGTTTCAGCCAGCAGTGTAGGGCTCAACAGGACGCCAACATTGCATGCAATTTACGAAGAAATCTTCGTGCAGTGTGAACATATTTAATTAAGGTAAATAGTTGTGCGTATTTTTCATAATAAAACATGAAAATGCTATTTGCCTAACTCGAGCGCTTTTTTAGTTCACTTGGCGACGAGGCAATCTTAAGCGAAAAATTATTAATGTCGTTGCA